GCTCAAGCTCAAGACATTATGAAGCATCAAGCGGGTGATATGGTATATTTGAAGCTTCAGCCATACATACATAAGAGAATGGGTAACCATTTCTGTCAAAAACTTGCAGCCAAATTTTATGGTTCTTATCGGGTATCGGAACGAATTGGTAAAACGGCTTATAAGTTACTTTTACCCTCTGAGGCAAGAATTCACCATGTCTTTCATATCTCTCAACTGAAGCTTGCTTTGGGACAACATGATCAGTGTAATGTCTTACATCCAGGAAGTATAATTAAAGCGGATGAACATATTGTACCGGAGGATGTATTGGAGAAACGCTATGATGAGGAAGGTGAGCTGGAGCTGTTGGTGAAATGGCAGGACAAGTCCTTTCTAGAGAATTCATGAATGTTGTATCAAGACTTCATCACTCATTTTTTTCTGATTACCAGCTTGAGGGCAAGTTGGATTTCGTTGAGGGAAGTATTGATATGTTCTGAAAGACATATTATAGGAAGAGGGAAGAGAAGGGCATGTGAGACAAGCAGTAAAACCGTGGAAAGCTTATTGTTAAAAGAAAAGGAGAAAGTCGAACCTTCAGATAGAGAAGGAGGATTAGAGACAAGAGAAATTTAATTCAAATAAAAAGGAGAAGTGGAACCTTCGATATGAGAGAGAGACTTTGCCATTACAACTAGCCGTTGTATAAAAAAGAGATCGTCAGATCAGTTGGAGTTTTATGCTTTGTATGTGTAATCAAGTGACGATATGAATCCTCTGTTTCCAGACGCTATGAGACTGACGAAAATGATGAACTCGTGATGAGAATGAACCATATTCGAGATACAAAGTTGTAATTCTCATTTCATTGATTAATAAAGAATTTTATATTGCTTTCTTGTCCTATAGATAACTTGAATCTATCACTCTGTCGCTATAAATATAAACTGAGGAAAACAAGAGGTTGCATATAGGGCTGGGACGGGTCCAGATATCCAGGAAATTTGAAGTATCCGGATCCGGATCCGGATTCGTCGTATCCGTGATTTCAATATCCGAATCTGGATTCGTGTTTTCCGGATATCCGGACTTCAGATATCCGTCTAGATATTATGAAATCTGCAGATATCTGGATTCGGATTCGTATCCGTAAAAATAACTAAAAAAATTTTAAAAATCAAATTTTTAAAAAATAATACATAAATTATATATTTATGCATAATTTATGAATATAAATGACATATATTATTATTAATATTAAAATAGAATATTATAAACTTATTTTATATATAAATATTAATATATCAGATATAATTAATAATAAAATAAAAAATTTAATATATTTTTTAAAATACGGATTTAAATCTGGATATCCGAACCTAAAAAATAAGATATTCGTATCCGGATTCGGTTTGCACGGATCTGAGATTTTACTATCCAGATTCAGATCCGGGCATCCCCAGATATCCTAATTTCAGAGCGGATCCAGATCGAATCTTGGATCGGATCCGGATCCCGAATAAAAGTCTCAGCCCTAGCTGCATAGCTTCAGCCCATATATTATTGTGTTCTAGTGTAAGTAACAAAGCCCACTGGAGAAGCTATGTTTATCGTCTAATCTTATTATATAAAGTTAAGTTTTTTTTTTCATGGTGATGTCATGTCACTAAATAGGATTGAGAGAAAGTGAAGTGACACATGGGATGAAAAATTGTTCATATACAAAAAAATTAATGTTTAATATTAACAAGGTTTAATTTATGTGAATGCATTTATCAATTCTTTTAAGAAATATGAATCTTTTTATTTTGAGATAAAAATATATATTAAGAAAATCATAGTATCCATGAATTCAAAACATTTATAAGACTGAAAATAATCCATCATTTATATTTTTAGATATTTTATTTTATCAACATTGACAAATGTTAGAAATTACTTATATAATAAAATAAAAAATATAAATAGTAAAATTTAATGTTATTAATAAAATGATAAATATAAATAGTGAAATTTCATGTTATTCTTATTTTCAATAAATTAAGAAAATCAGATACTCACTAAATTAGAATATATAGATTTTTATGTGTGTGTATGACTAGATTTTTAATAGTAGCACATTAGGAATTAATATGCATTAAATATACATGAAAAAATAAGAATACAAATCAAAAGGAATAAACACATCAAACAAATACAAAGATTCCCACATAAATTAGCTGAAAATAATCAATAATTTAAATTCTTAGATATTTTATTTTATCAACATTGACCAAGGTTAGAAGTTACTTATATAAAAATAAAAAAAATATAAATAGTGAAATTTAATGTTATTCTTATTTTTAATAAATTAAGAAAAATTAGATGCTCACTAAATTTGAATATATATCTATATGTGTGTATCAGTAGATTTTTAATAGTAGCACATTAGGAATTAATATGCATTAAATATACAGAAAAATATCAGAATACAAACTAGATTAAAAGGAATAAACACATGAAACAAATACAAAGATTCCCAAATAAACTATATTGTATGTTGTTTTTAAAAATGATATTGTATACACACTAAACTTATATCAATTACTACGTATAAATAACAATCAGAAACATAAAAATAACTAAGTGCTTTTATGAAAAACAAATAAAACATAAAATATTATAATACTAAGAATAATATAATATTGCAAAATATATTTGACAGTAGATAAAAATAAAAATGTCCAAAATATAAACGGATATCAAATTTTGATAGAGATGGTGAAATATTTAAGTGAACATGTCATTCATTTTATTATAGACAAAGTAAACCACAAATAACAATCAATTATCTTGAAATGAATATACACAAGATAAAGACAAAATAAATCTGAATATCAGGTGTATAACCTCACAAAATAATATGTCATTAGCTTAACACCATAATGTCTCAGAATCTTTCACCTCATAACACCACTTTAGTGGTCCTCGGATCTCACGGTTTTTTCGATCAAATAGAATCAGAAAAAATAAAATGAAAATGAGAAGGAAAATCAAAAAATATTGTTACGTTCACTATATCTAGCACAACGATGAGTGTGTGTTTATCTCTTTTGAAACAATAATTAAAAAAAAAAGTAAATGGGAGTAAATATTTTCCACTTGATTGATAGTTTTTAAGAATAAGTTGGAGAAAAATTAGCACATAATACCATAGGCTCGAGAATAAAACTTGCAAAAATACACAACTATATCACACTGATCCGTATAACATGTCTCAAACAAACATGAAGTGAACTCTAAATACAGCCACCAAAACTTTCAAACAATTTAATAACTTCTAAATCATTATAATTAATATTTTATTTTTAATGAAACCAAAAAAATTGACATTAATCTTTTTGTTAAAAAATAATCATTTAGTGAAAATATATAATATAATGAAAACAAATAAATTTAGAATTATAATAAATAAAAGTATTATAATTATTAGAAAAAAATAATCATTTAGTGAAAATATAGAATTTATTAAAACAAATAAATTTATAATTATAATAAATAAAATTCATGAGAAATAGGATAAATCAATTTACGCTATCAATCTTTATACATTTCATTAGATTTATACCAACGAAAATAAAAATACTGAATCTCACAGATTTTTGGTTCCCTTTTTACTACCAAATTTAATGTTAACCTAGAATACAAATGTTATAAAAATAATTAACAATTAATACATAATGAAAAAAATTTAAAAACAAGAACTAACAAGATATAAAAATAGACTAATTAAACTTTAATTATGCTATGTAATATAACTTGAGTTTAATGAAAAGTTTAATAAAGATTTAATAGTTAAGTAAAAGTTACATAATACTTAAACATTTTCAAAATAAATAAAAAAGTCCATAAGTTTGGAAAGACGAAAAATCTATAATCATATTGTTTTCCTTTACGTTTCATCAAACCTAAACCTATGGAAACAAATTCACACACTAATTTTTTTTCATTTTAGGTAAATAAGATCAAATCTAGAATAATTATCAAAAAAGATTCAAACATTAAACAATGAATAATAAATAATTAAACAATATTTTACAAAAACAAATTGTAAATAAAATAATAACACACAACATGTAAAGAAACAAAAGTCGAGATGAGGCACAATACAAAACAATTCTACAAACACATATTGATAATCTATGACATAGAAAATTTGAATATTAAATTTTTTGAAATTCAAAAAAGAAAAAACAATAAATAATTAAAAATAATTATATAATTGTCTAACTACTTATATTTTATAATAGATTATAATATTTATATCTGAAAATAACATACAACATATATAAATAAAATTTTAACACAAAACCTGGGCGTATCCCGCTTAGTAATTAACAAAGCAAATGTGTGTGAATTGTACATGAGAAGGAGAACAATCACGAGGTTTTGATAGCTGCGACAATGTAGTTGTCACACAAAGAACACGATATACTGCCGTGTCCATCCAACCCCAACCAACTTTAAAGCAGTAAACTCATTTTCTCCAATACAATTTCCGATTAAGAAATCCAAAACAGATCAACTCCAAACTGTTTAGGCACATCTGTTCATACTAACCAAACTCTTCAAGCTCAATTTCTTAAAAGGAAACAAAGAAAAAAAGACTTGATCTAAAGAAAAAAAAAGAGAAAGCAAACCAAAACCAAAAGAAAACCTTTTACATTAGTGTGTTTGATTTGAATGGATACAAAGCGTTACGGTGTTGTAAAAGGTGTGCAAACAAAACGACGCCGTAGTGCATTGAGATATGTGACCGACCGTTAGGTCAGCCTATTTTGTATTTTCTTTTTAAAAATACGAATATTTCAGACACGACACCACATACAGTACAGTGATAAACCCAGTAACAAAAACCAAAAATATATCTCCACTCGCGGTGGCGCGTGGTCATTATCACTTACATCTCTCTCTCTCCCTCTGCATTTTCCTCCCTCACTTGTCACTACTCTCTCTCTCTCTCTTGTTAGTCAAGGGAAATGGGGTGTGCGCAATCTAGGGTTGATAACGAAGAAGCGGTAGCGAGATGCAAGGAGCGTCGCAACGTCATCAAGGAAGCCGTTACGGCGAGCAAGGCATTCGCGGCGGGGCATTTCGCCTACGCCATTGCTTTAAAGAACACCGGAGCCGCTCTCAGCGACTACGGCCATGGAGAATCCGACCAAACCTTAGATGACGATGTTGTCGTCTTGGACCAAAGCCATTTCGAGAAACAGAGTGATGATCCTATCGCTACTCCTCAGCCTCCTCCTCCTCCGCCTATAGAGAATCTCCCTCCTCCCCCTCCTCCTCTCCCGAAGTTCTCTCCTTCTCCGATTAAACGCGCTATTAGCTTGCCGACCATGGCTGTTAGAGGAAGGAAGGTTAAGGGTGGTGGTGTTGATGGTATGGCGATTGAGGAGGAAGATGAAGAGGAAGAGGAGGATGAGGAGGAGGAGGTGAAGGAAGAAGAGGAGGATTCGCCGAGGACGCCGGAGAATGTTGGGAAAGGAAGGAAGAGACAGGAGACGCCGGAGATTGTGAGTGCTTCTCCTGGGGCTTGGGATTACTTTTTCATGGTGGAGAATGTGCCTGTCCCTGTGCCTATGCCTAACTTAGAAGATAGGTATCAGTTCAGTGAAGAGCAAGAAGAAGAAGAAGAAGAAGATGAGCCAAAGACGCCGGTGAATGTTGAAGAGGAAGAGGAGGATGTAGTAGTGGAAGAGGCAGAGGAGGAGAAGAAGAAAGGGAAAGCTAAGATTGAGCATTCCAACACTGCTC